TATATATAAAATTAAGTTTGTCAAAATGTTAGTTACCGTACTCCTCCGAAACGGCTTTACCGATTTTTACCAAATTTTATATGCGTATTCAGTAGGTCTGGGAATCGGCTACTATCTATTTTTCATACCGCTAAAGTGATTAGGGTGTCCCTATCCAGCAAAAATATCTTTATTGCTTTAACAAAAATTTTTTTATTTTTTTGACATAAATTTTTTTATATTTTTGAAAAAGTAAACTTGCTATAATATGAAAAGTTGTTGTCTATGAAAATACTGAATTCATAAAACTGCCCCCTAATTTTTGCACTATCGTTGATTCCCAAAATGCTCTCATTGACCGCGTATTTCCAGATGTACACATACAATACATAAATCATGGGTGGCTGGCAGAAAAAGCCATTAGCAGCAAAAAAAAACGTGGACGTTGATGAATTAAACTTCAAGATAAAGCAGACATTGCCAGGCGACTTAATATCATACAAATCGATCGATACAGTTTGTGATACCAACGAAGTTGTAAACTATCCAGCAGAATTTTTAAACTCACTGGATTTGCCAGGCATCCCACCACACATTTTACGACTGAAAGTTGGATCACCGATTATTTTACTTCGGAATTTGAACCCACCACGGCTATGCAATAGTACGCGATTGGTAATTAAAAAATTGATGAAAAACATTATCGAAGCCACCATTTTGAATCGCAAGGTCCGAAACGAAAAAGTTTTATTGCCACGAATTCCAATGATTCTCACAGACAAGCCAATTTAATTCAAACACGTTCAATTTTCTATTAGATTGGCATTTGCAAAGACCATCAATAAGTCACAAGGCCAAACGATGTCTGTTTGCGGTCTTATATATAAAATTTCCATGTCACAATGTTAGTTACCGTACTCCTCCGAAACAGCTTTACCGATTTTTACCAAATTTTATATGCGTATTCAGTAGGTCTGAGAATCGGCTACTATCTATTTTTCATACCGCTAAAGTGATTAGGGAGTCCCAACCTAGCAAAAATATCCTTATTGCTTTAACAAAAAATTTTTTTATTTTTGACATAAATTTTGTTTATATTTTTGAAAAAGAAAAATTTTTTTCTTAATATTTTATGTAACTACGCCAACAAGTACATCGAGCATTTACATACACTTCGTTCTTCGTCTTCGCCTTGCATGGCAGATGGAAAATGTACTAAAAATTGAAATCTAAAGCTTTCACTAATGATACTATAACAAATACCGACGGATATCCAATATATCGTCGAAGAAATCCCGATAATGGGGGACAATGGCGGGTGGTGCCGTATTCGCCTCTGCTAAGCTAAACATACAATGCTCATTATTAATGTTGAGTTTTGCAGTTCTGTGAAGAGCATCAAATATATAAGTATGTCCATAAAGGCAGTGATATGGCTGTGTTTAGAGTAGAAAATACTAATATAAATGCTCCTCCAATGAACAAAAACGGTGAAATTACGCTCTACCAAATTGGTCGGTACATCAGCTCCAATGAAGCTGCTTGGCGTATCTTCGGTTTTCTAATTCATGAACGGGATCCAGCAGCTGTTCAGGTAGCCGTTCATCTTGAAAACGGTCAGCGTATTTTTTTCACGAACGAGACAGTGATTGATCGTGGTACAAATCCACCTAAATCTACACTCATTGCATTTTTTTAATTGTGTAATAGTACGGATGATTTTGGTGCCTTTGCAAGAACATTACTCTATTCACAAGTACCACGCTATTTCACATGGGCTCAAAAAAAAATGGATGCCCCGCAAGCAAGTTTCACCAGTTTATGCATGTCTCAATTTATTTAAATCGAACGCTTATTTATAGTTAATCCAAGACACACTGAGTGCTTTTATCTTCGACTGTTGTTGGTTAATGTTACTGGCCAATTATCATTATTATTATTTACAGTCAATCCAAGACAATTTAAATTTGAAGATACAACAGTTGTTGCCAGGGAACT